AAGATGAAGATGAAGATGAAGATGAAGATGAAGATGAAGATGAAGATTGCTCTTGTTTAGTATTTCATTGGCATTATATGGGTGACCGTAGTTCTAGACTGTCGACAAACTAATCAAATTTGATTCAAAAAAATTAGTCATTATATCGGAAAATTCTCAAAACTGACCCCACCGACTCAATATTTTGCGAAAAATCGCAAAGAGAGATTTTTAAATAATTTGAAAATTGTATACAGTAATATCGCATAACTCTTCCACCTCCTTCAAAATCTACTACTTTCCAACACTATTTTTGATTATAAACTTTCAATTGACCAATTCACCAATACTTTTTATCTTTATTTTTCAGAGGTCCTATCACCACACCGGCCACCCGCTCCACCCACGGAATACTTCCAATTCAACATTGGTGGCTATGATCCGGCGAATTTGTTGCGACCCAATCTAGACTCTCCAGCACTGCAGGGATATATTGGCTGCGTGCGTGGCCTGAAAATTGGCACAAATTTAATCGACTTGGCTGACATCAACGAACGGAATATTTCGCCTAGTAAGTAAACAGAAATGCCATTGCTATATACAACATTATATAGGTACGCATTTATGTATATATGTACATTAGGGCGGGCCTTAAAATATCCACATCAAGGAGCACCACTATATTTGGTTCTACGTGCAAAGTAAATGCATCCACGAAAATTTAAAAATTAAAAAAAAAACTAAATAGTGGTCGCTGCCAGAGTTTGATTTTTTTTTTTTTTGTAAATTGAACAAATTCGACAAAATTTTGTTTTTTACCAGCTATAACCCAGCGAATTTATGAATTTACATAAATAATATGTCAAATTTATCAGATTTCAAGTCAAAATTTTGTCGAACTTTCGGAATTTTTTTTATTAAAATTTTTGAATCCCACAAAATTTTTTTTTTTAATTTTTTAATTTTCGTGGATGTCATTTACCTAGAGCAAAATAAATAGGCGGCCTATAGAAAATATAGTTGTAGATAATTTGGAAGACCACCCTAATATAGTACATGTTTATGTAGTGGGGTAAGTGTGTACAATTGCAAAACTAACACAAATTGCACTTGGCGCTTTGGTGAGGAAATTCAATTTTAAAAAGTCACATATGAACGTTGTTGAGCGGCAGGGATTTGCACATGCGTGCGATGCAGAGTGCAGCTTTTTCGTTGGTGGATAGTTCGTGCGAAGGACTCATTGGTATTGGTAAATAGTTGGTTTTGCGACGGAAATATAACTGTATTTTTATGTGCGCGCGTGTGTATTGTAGAAGCTTTAAAAATAAACAAATTTAAAACTTTTATGAAGCATTAGGGCTGGCCGTATAATAACTGCAATATTTTCTATGCAACCACGCTGTTTCTAATTACACTGTGCAACAAGATTTTACGCATTTGACTAAAACAAAAATTTAGTAAAAGTTTACACCGCTCATAACAAAATACCAAAAGAATTTTTAGCCTGTACTAGAACTGGAATTGACAATATAATTTGTGGAGGTACCCTAATGCGCGTGAATACATGCATACTTACTTGGTGAAAAGTACCAAATATCCTAAGCATATTCGTGCGTCCGCTGCATGGTCATTACTGCCAAAGATTAATGCTAATCGGATAAGTGGATGCAGTGGGTAAACGTACATACGTATGTACATATGTCTGTATGTAAACGCAAAAGCGCAGAATGGCTGCGCAGAGATTTTCAATAAAATTTTCAATGTGGTTGGAAATACATATTGAATATGCTTCAGTGTACTATACGCCAGTGCCGGCTTGTTTAGAAGGCGACATACACAGCTAAAATGCCATACCGAAAAATGGGTGGTACCCAAATGATCAACCGGGCACCAAGCTCTTCTCTGTGGTGGGCTAAGAAATTGATTCACATTGATTTATAGCGATTTTAAATTTATTGAGAATTGCAATTGAGGTACAAGAGATATGGAGTACACATGTGTACATATGTATGTGCGTGCGAGTATCACTACATGCAGCGCAATAAAAAATAATTGGAGACATCTATGCGGATCATAAATATTGCATAGCACAGGAAATGCTATAAAGTTCTACGCACTTAAGCGCATATCATAAATCACAAAATCTGAATGATTTAATGCAGCGCATTAAAAGTTTGTGGACTTCCATTACCTATCATTACAATTTTATCATTCATTTTAATATTCGTTTAAATATTTTATGAAACTCCATCACATTCTAATTCGAAATCAAAATTTACCGACAGCTATAAATTTCATTACTGATGTTAAGGATCTTTGATTTTTGTGGAGTAAAAATTTAGCTCGCGGAAATTGTACGAAATGGAAGTATATCGTCGATGTTTTTGCGAAACCGCCCATCGACCGGTTGTAAAACCGCCTAAATCGCCGTTGTGCCAAAAATGAGATTTGGTAACCCTGAACTCCAATTATTGAGATCTATGCATAAAAATCTTAAAATCGTAGTTAAAACAATTATAAAAAATACAGCCTGTCAAGGCAATGCCTTCAAATAAAACCCGTTTTTTCGCTCTCCTGCGTAATTTGAGTGTCGTAAGATAGGCGGTTTTGCAGTTAGTCGATGGTCGGTTTTGCAAGAACATCGACGATATTTGTAATTATCGAATGCTATGCGCAACCACTAGGTAACCTAATTTTATCCATATTCAACAAAAATGCATGCAGTTAAGGAGCTTGAGAGGTGTATAAGGACCCCTACCACTACCCTTTACTTATTGCCTTCTGCGTTTACTCATAGCAAGTCTCGCGGATGGCCATCTGAGTCCGCAAAATAGTTCCAATCTAACAAGTGCAGCTGGTGCGTCTTTTATCGGCAAATCACTGCCATTTCTGTCGATTCCGCAGTGACCTGCTGTATAGCACAAAGACGAACAAGACACTCCTTGGAGAGCTTGAAGGTGTTGGATATGATGCTGGTGATTACTTTGCCATCTGTAAAGATAACTATAAATGCGGCTTTCAAAACACTTTTCAATGTTTCATCTGGCACAGGTATGTTGGGATTGCTAGCACCTTGGCCTGCAAGACTATGGGCCACCTTCCCATTGCATAAACACCAGAACCTATTCTGTCCTCCATCCGTGAAACGTCTGTGTGCCAATGTATGGATTTTAATCTGGAATATTCTATCGAGACACATTTATTTTGGCATGGAGTCAAAAAGCTCGCAACATTCCAATCCTGGTGTTTTACCCAAACCACCTTTCTATTGCTTCGTGTCATTAAAAGTAATGCTATCTCGGGCCTGCTGCGGCTTGAACTCTAAAATATAGAGTAGAGTCCATGCCAGAAGAGAGAACATGGCCGCGATTGAAAACGGTGACCGTGAGCATCAACCTTTGAACTTTGTTAAAACGTAATACGGCAGAATTTCGGAGACATAGGCACCACTCGGATGGACTATTGTACGGTATAGCCATTCTAACAACTTAGAGTTCAGACTCAGTGTTCGACTAAAAAGTCTGCTACAACCAAAATAGTTCGGGTGGCTTTGGTAACCGTCTTGTCTGGGTGAAAATTCCAACTTAGTCTCTTAGCAAAGTTGTCAACAACATCGGCTTCAACAAATGCAGAGCTTAGTATGGATATGAATGCAAATCGAATGGGTCTCCTGTCATCAAGCAAACAGTCAGCGCATTCGTGCTTTGGCACTCTCCATGGGCCAAATATAGTAAAAGTACGTTTTTAGTTTTTCTCTCTGACGTCAGTATTTTTTTTTAAGGACTTTGAAATCGGAAAAATATAATTACTTCAAAAAATAGTTTAGAAAACTTCAGTGTAATGTAGAAAACCATTATGACTATCAAATTAAAGAGAAAATTCTGTAGAATTAAAGCCGATTAAATTTTTTGATGCATAAGGACGATTAGGTATTGCAAATGTCCTTTTCACATTTTATCATTGAATACTCTTGAAATTTTACAATAATTACTTTCAAAAAAAATTCCATGTTAAGGACTAATATACAGTCGACCGCATCCTCGAATTTCGTCCTTCTAACTTTATTCGCTTAAAAAAATAAAACTAATTAAAAAGGCATTTTCAATACCTATTCGTCCTTTCGAACCAAAAAAATTTAATTTTTTAAATTCTATAGAATTTTCTCTGTTATTTATGGCGCATAATATTTTTCTATATTGGATTCAACTTTTTTAATAATTTTTGGTATTAATCATATCTTTGAAACTACAAAGTCGTTAAAAAAAATACCCTACAGTTGCCTACTACAGTTGTTGTCGCCTGATATGAGCCTTGCTGTACACAGTAGAGCCTCTCTCTTGATTACAACGTGTAGAAGCACTTCAAAATCCGAGATTAGTATTAGTGTCATCGCGCCAATGTTGCCCACGCAGGCCAACTGTTGTAGCTTACTGAGCTGGGCCTGCGTGGATTTCACTTCTGCCTTCTTTCACCAGAGGGGGGCAGGATAACTTAGAATGGGTTTGGAGATGCCCCAGTTTCATCCCACTAGTTTCCGGCAGGTCCCAAAAGAAGCCCTGGCTCTATAAATAGTTTTGTCTAGTTGGGGATTCCATGAGAGCTTGTCATCAATGATAACTCTTAGATATTTGACCTCCTTGGAGACGTGTATCTTTTCTCCTTGAAGAAATGGTTCTAGTAATTCGTCCCTTTACCTTGGAAAAAATTACTATGCTAGTATGCTTGGGGTTTACGTTTAACCCATTATTACTGCACCATTTGTCGATTATGTTCAGAGCTCTCCGTAGAAGGTTGGATTTGGTGTCTTCGAAACTACCTCTGATAAGCATAACAATGTTGTCCGCGTGGCCCTGAACGTCGAAGCCACTTTCACTAAGAAGGCAGAGTAGTTCGTCTACTGCTATGGACCATAGCAGTGGGCATACCACTTCCCTCTGCGCGCAACCTTTCGTAGTTAGGAATCTGTCCTAGAGTGGATGTAATGGTTCTGAATTTCCAACCCCTTTGTGCCAGACGCATTCTATTGAGAGTGTCTATGTCTATTAGAGAGTGTTCCGTATTATCAAAAGCACCATCCACTTCCTTGAAACGCCCAAACGCCACAGCTTTGCTCTCGACAGACTTTTCAGTTTTTCTTGTCCAACTCTGAAGAGCGTGGAATACCACCTCAGACATCTTTCAATGAAGTTCCGACCTGTCAGTGAAAAAGTTCACTGCTTCCTTACCGGCAACTCTAGGCCGATGTTAGCCGATGTCACCGCTTTTTTTGAGCTTGGGTTAGATAGTGTAGAGTTTCCAGAAATCTAGCCATAACCATAACTGCTATATCGCCTCAAAGGACACTAACCCCAAAAGTTTCGATAATTAAACAGGTTTGAACAAGTTTGTCGTCCATTTCAAGCGACGACTATACGGCGGGTCGAAAAGCGGAGGACAACCCTCGTACCTCGGAGGCTTTTCATGTGGATTGGCTACAAGGAAGAACCTGAAGACTATACGGCGGGTCCAAAAGGGGAGGCCAACCCTCGTACCTCGCAGGCTTTTCATGTGGATTGGCTACAAGGAAGAACCTGGCCATAGTCCATAGAGAGGCCTAAGTAGATTTAAATTTTGTTTGATGTCGATGAGCGTTTGAGATTCTAAAATCTTAATCTTAAAATCTGCTTTGAAATATGCTTTAAAAAAATCCTCCACACGCATATGCCCGAATTAGCCAACTTAATAACATATCTTAATACAGCAGAGGCCTTAAAATTACAATGGTGTGTGAAACTGAGATTTTCCGCAAAGTTTTATGATTCTTTTTCCAGTGCTTCTGAAATTAAAAACTTCCTTCATGTAAATATTCAAGGTCAGCAAGTAAAAAAAAAAAGATTTCCGGACATTTTATAAAGGTGAATAATGTAGATATTTAAAAATTATTTTGGTATTATATTTTATGCCCACCACTGTATGTAGTCATACATACAATCGTTACTTTATCATTTGCTAATAACCTTCACGCTTTCCCTCTCACATCTTTTCAGCTATGGACGGTGTCCTACCAAATTGCCAAATCAAATGTGACGCTGAGCCCTGCAAAAATGGTGGCATATGCAAGGAGAATTTCGCCAAACAAGAGTCGACATGCGATTGTGAACACACCAGCTTTTTGGGTGAATTCTGCATGGAAGAGAAGGGAGCGGACTTTAGTGGCGAATCGACATTGTTGCGTAAATTCGAACTTACCGGCAAAGTGGACTTTGTGCTATTGCAATTGGCATTCTCCTCTTTCGATTTACGGCGTGCCAATCGTGTGATGTTGTTATTGCAACCGACTGGTGATCGCAGTTATTACCTGATGGTAGCCATTAACGCCGATGGGCATCTGTTATTCGAAGAGGACCGCGAAGGACCGGCGGTGGGTGCACAAATCGAACGAAGCTTTCTGAATAATGCACGCCATTCCATCTACTATATACGCAATGGCAGTGATGCCACACTGCATATTGACCGCGAAAAGGTGCCATTGACAAAGATACAGACACGTGCACCGGTGCCAACGAGTGGTGCGGGCGGAAATCGGGTACAAATTGGTGGCATCAATACGACAGATGCGAGATTTGCTGTGTTCAAGAGCTACAGTGGATGTTTGTCGAGTAAGTAGCGATTTGGACGCTTGTTTGTTGGTGTGAGTGCTCAGTGTTTGTGTGTGCTTAAGTAAGTTTACACGTGTGAATGGTGAGAAATTTGTTTAAGAAAAACCCCTTGGAGTCCTTGAGCTGGAAAATTTTTTTTTTCATTTTTTTTATTTAGTTTTTTTATTGTAATTTTTTAAAAAGAATTTTTTTTTCATTTAACTTTTATGGCACAAGTATGTTTTTTTCTCAAAATAAATAAGGCTTTCTAATTTGTAATTTATATTTAAATTTAAATAATTACATTAAATTACATTGATTCAATTTGACCACCAATCATAACCACCTCCAGGCGGACTCGAACCAGAACCGGTAGTCTGGCCGCGACGCCACGGCCGACATTTGTGAGGAAAGCAAATATGTAATTGCGTTTTATTTCTGACTTTGAAGATTCAAAAACAAATGGTTTTGATGGCATAAGTAGTTCGAAATTGTCGAACTGGTAAGCCATCGCTTTAGCTCATACTAGTTAATGAACTGGTATTTTTATCAGGGCTGCAAACCGGCTTTGAACCGAACCGGTTTTTGAACCGAACCGGGCTTCGAACCGAACCACGAACCGAAAAATTATTATTTTGAAATGCCAAAACCGAACCGAAAACCACTCCAAAAAATGGGTTGGTTCGGTTCAAAATCCACTAAAGCATTTTTCAAGTTTTGTATAGACAACTGCAAACATTTTTGAGTTTAATGGCATCTCTGTGAGTTATAATTTGTCCATATAAAAAATGTTTGTATTGTTTTTATATGGAAGAAAATGAATATCACCGCCAGCAAAAAAATTCAAATCGAAATTTCCAAAAATCAGCTTAAACTTTAAAATTTGTTTCTAGAAATTCTTATTAAAAAGTTTGCAACTTAGATGAAACTTTGAAGAACTTTCACAATTTTTTCCCAAACTCTTAAACTTGGATTTATTCAGTTCTAGTTCGACGACGAACTACATATACAAAAAAGGTAAGCTTTACATAAGCGAAAAAATATAGCCAAAATTGTGAAAATTTCGCGTCACTATTTATTTTTCCACTACTATACCTAACTGTGGATGTTTGAGTTTGATCTCAAAAAGAAAGCCTTTTATATTTTATATACATAGATTTGTAATATTTGTATCCTTTAGCATTAAAAAATTTTATCTTTTGAACCGAACCGAACCGCGGTTCGGGAAAACCCATGAACCGGTTCCACTGAACCGAACCGCACCGTTTTTTGGAGTGATTTGCAGCCCTGATTTTTATTGACTGGTTTGGTTTTTCATTGCAGGGTAGCTATAACTACACATGTAAATATGCATGTACATTAGGGTGGTCCAAAAATACAAAACATGGGGGAAAAAGTAAAGTCGGAAGTTTTATGCTCTCACCCCCTAGGATTGTTCTTTACTGAAAAAGTATACCCTTATTTTTTTATTTTGAAATATTTTATATGAGGAAAAAAAAACAACTTTTCGTAGAAATGGTATAGAATAGTTAAAAATCAATATTTTCTACCAGAAAACTCTGTTTATCTGCAGGAGATTCCCAACAATACTACCCAATTATTTATTTAACCATTTTTTCATGGCAACTATAATTTAAAGGTTCGCCAAAAGCCCACAAAAACTCCGAAAAATGCAATGGGGAGACCAATAAAAAATCAATTGGGTATTATTATTGAAAGTTTCATGAAGAGAACCAGAGTTTTCCGATCGAAAAATATTGATTTTTTAAGAATTCTATACCATTTCTACGAAAAATTTTATTTTTCTCATATAAAAATACATGCAAAATTTTGAGCGCTTTGAGCGACCTCTAAATATTTTTTGATTTCAAAATAAAAAAATAGGGGTACACTTTTTTTCGATATAGAACAATCCTAGGGGGTGAAAGCATTACAATTCCGACTTTACTGTTTTTGGACCACCCTAATGTACATAGTATGTATTGTTCGCTTACTGATGCTGTCAAGAGACCGAGTATAAATTTTCCAGCAATGCGCTATTAATTCTTAAAGCTTCGCTAAGCTCCTGACGAGGGTTCACTTGACGGACTCAAGTTGTTGCATTGCTGCCGCACTAACGCACAAATGTACATACATACATACATAAATACTACATACATAGATGCGAATATCCCCACATATAGGCCCATTGAGCCATGACCGCTTTTCATTCACTGCATTTGCTCGCAGGATATATGCATGTGGTGGCAGTAGTACTTGTTGTTGTTGTCGGTATTACTCTGCGTTTTTGGTACTTGATATCCATTTACGCACATGCACATACCAAAAACAACAAACACTTCACATATTCAACAGCGCGCGTATTGCTACACTTGATTGGGGCCGGAGAGTGGAAGTCAGTGAAAGCACTGCAGGGAAAATCCGAGCTAATGAATCGTCGGATAGTAGTTAGGTAGATCATCCCCACTCCTAAAGCCGCGAAATGCCGTACTTTACAAACTATTTTATTTTACTTTTTAAAATTTTATTTCGCTAGCTTAGAGCAAAAAACTGCAAATCCACTGCTTTCTGAAAAATTTAATTTTGAAGCAAGTACAATCAAAAATACATCGTGGTATAAAAAACGAACTACAAATTTTATTTCTAATTGGTTCTGCAGAAGACATTCGTGTTGTTATTGTTCTTCCTTCGTGGTTGTAAATTCTCTAGAACCGCACCAATTCGGCGCTTGTGCGTTTTACTACTGGGAGCAAATACGCATATGTAAGTATGTCTGTATGAGTGTACGTATGTACATAAGTGTGCGTGAGTTTAGCCTGCAGGAAAGTCCACTAATGCTATTCTAGTTCAAAACCGTGAACTTTAAATGATCGTGATTCAAGAGTATGAGAAAAAATAGAGGATGTAATGCATTAAATGTGGCATCAGGGCGAGTCTTATGTTTAGAGTTAAAAATCTACATACTTACAATTTTTGTTTTAACGAGGGAAAGCATCGTAAGCCTGTATACTCCAGCAGTATTGGACTATAACCCGAACTAAACCTCCTACTGTCCCTCCGGTGCTACCGTTAAGTCTTTCGGCGGCAGGCGGGTTGAGCGCAAAGCTCACATATACATATACAAACGTTACGGTTTTAGTGTATTCAGTTGTTAGCCATTTCATACCACAACCCGATCGTCCATATGGGTCAAGATACTGGTTTAACTTACCAAGATTCTTCTTCTGCCGTGTTCAGCTTTTTTGGATGTGTTTATGATTATTGCTGCTATATTCGAAACCGCACTCCAGATTTCTGAGGATTGAAGTATATTTTCAACAATATTTTCAGGTGCTGGATTTCCTTTAAAGACATCTTGCAAATAATTTTGCTATCTGTCGAACTTGTTGCAACAGAAGAATACGTGTTTAACATCTTCGGTAGAAACTTTTTAGGTAAACCTTAAACAGCCGTAACGTGTAAGCAATTTGGTTAAATGAACATTTTCCTCTCCATGAGAACGGCTTGAATGGTGGTTCCAACAGCCAGTTCGACAAAATTTCCCTTCTTTCTCTCTTTTCTTTTTCAGTGTTAGTGATACTGCATCTGATTCTTCGAAGCCGGTTTCTTTCGCCAAAAGTTCTATCGGATGAAGGCGTGCGACAACCAAGGCTACGTCTTCGGATACTGTAAGAAATGACATGGCGATAGGCCACCAGAAGTCTTCAATGAATTTATTTAGACGGTTCTAAATGATACACTCGAGGATTTTTCCCACCGAGTGGGCGGAAGTGAGACGGTTCGGTTAAAGGGAGAAGTTGGCATTTAGGCTGGGTTACTTGGTTCCTCACTACTTTTTACGCGAGTCCCCAGGCATTCGTTTTTGCGTCGTCGCAGAGACTTATGAAACAGTCACGTTTGCTGTTCTTTATTTTGGATTACAGCAAATTCATTTTATGACTAAACAAGTATTCAACTCGGAACCCGCTGGTAGCAGCAGAGGAAGAGAGAGGCCCTCACTGCGATTGAAGGACCAAGTGGATAAGGACCAGACTTCACTTGGCATTTCCAATTGACTTCAGTTTAAAAGAGGTTCAGGTCTATAACCCACTTCCGGCCACCTCGGTTGATGATGTATTGATGGTTTGTGTTAAGAAGGAAAATATCAAGCGCGGCAAAGCCTTTTATTGACTCCCCTTGCCCCGTTCCAGTGCCCATGCATTGAAATCAATGGCAATGATAGTATTTTCTTTGCCATGGGCATCGCAAACGAGGTGGTCGACCAAAATGGTAAATTCTTTTAGGTCGATTCTTTAGATTGCAGACCACCTATTGCTGCCGAACAAAACCGCCCCCCTGGGGCCATTTGACCAATTTGGTAGGTTTAGACACTGGGTGCCCACAAGCATACATATGTATGTACATTCGCACACAAAGCTTACCGCTTACTCTCCCTGTTTTAACAACCTCTTGACTTCCATCAGAGCCGCTATCAAAAAAAAGTAAATTAACAACAAACTTCACGTTGTTAAACTTCCACCAATGGCGCAAAGAACGTCCTTAAACAGAATCTTCGTTCACGATTATTTGTGTATATACATTAGGGTGCCTCATCGAAAAAGTTGTGGTTTTTCACCGAAGTTATAAAATCTATACATCTATACATAGTATAAAGGAAAGTCGAGATTCTTTGTACGCGGTAATCTACTACGCGAAAACTACTGAACGGATTTAGACCAAATTTTCTCTAATATACTCTGTATATATTTAGAATTTTAATAGGGTTGCCACCTATCTAAAAAACTATAAGATCCGCACCGTTCGTTGAATTTCAAAAATGAGGCGTCAAATGAAAGCGATTAGCTTCTAGAAAAGCGCGAATGTCTTATTTTTTGAATAGGTTTGCCAGCTGTTAAGAAAATTGCTATATTCGATTCGAGCGTTGGCAGCATCAGTTCTGCACCGTCACTGTCAAATGGAACTACTAAGCCTCTAGGTGTGTAATAATGTATTATTTTTCTGAGTAGGGTGGCCACCTGTTTAAAAACTATTAGATCTTCACCGTTCGTTGGATAAAAAAATTAGATACCAAATGAAAGTGCATGGCCTTCGCATGTACAAAAACTTGAATTTTTTTGAGTAGTGTTGCCACCCATTTAAAATTACTATCTTATCCTTACGTAGTATAAAGCAAAGCCAAGGTTTCTTTATCACGCTAATCTCGAAAGCTACTGAACGGATTTGGATACGATTTTGTTTTATATATTCTGTGTCGATAGGAGTATTATGTTTAGTGCATAGCATTTCTATTAGGTTGCCACCTGTTTAAAATCTAATAAGATAATTGCGTTTACAAAAAGTGAGATGTCAAATGAAAGCGCTTGGCCTCTAGATGTTCAGTAATGTGTTATTTTTTGTGTAGGGTTGCCACTTTTTTTAAATTATAAGATCTTCATCGTTCGTTGGATTGAAAAATGGATACCAAGTGAAAGGATATGGTCTCCGGATGTGCAAAAAGTATTAATTTTTTTGAGTGGTGTTGCCACCTATTTAAAAATAACCAAATTTTTATTAATTAGATACATCAAAATTTCAAAGTTCATTCAATAAAAAAACCAAGTGAAAGGATATGATCTTCAGATGTTTAATGCTTTAATTTTTTAGTGGGGTTGCCACCTATTTAAAAATTTTAACCTTACATATAATATGGCAAGGCATTTTTTATTAATTACTTCAGATTTGCGCAGTTCATTCATTTAAACAAATTAGGTCTCAAAGGAAAGGGCTTGGCGTTCAGATTTGCAATAAGGTTTTGTATTTTCGAATAGGGTTGCCACCTGTACGAAAAATTATAAGATGTGGGCTGTTCGTTGGACTAAAAAGTGAGTCGTGAAATGAGAGAACTTGGCCCCCAGATGTGCAATAGGGTTTTATTTTTTTGAATAGAGTTTCCGCCTGTCTAAAAAATCATAAGATCCACACCGTTCGTTGTATTAAAAACATAAGATATAAAATAAAAGGGCTTGCCCGTTAGGTGTGCAATAAAACTTTATTTTTTAATAGGGTTACCACTTGCTGCGTATATGTACTTACTTATGTACACATTCAGCGCGTGGCGAAGCTAGTTTATTATACTTTAAGACTTCCGGAAAAATATTTCGGGAAAAAACAAGGATTTACGCGAACTGGACCGATCAGAAATCTCATCCAAAATATCATTATTTTGCTGCCGTTAATAAAATTTGTAAACAATTTTATTTACACCTTTTAGGCTTAAACTTGTCTATAATCTGAAGTGGTTTCATGGAACAAAATATTTTTGAAAACTTATTTTATTTATAAAAAATTGATTTTTGGGGTTATTTTCAAATCGGTCCATCTCACGTTGATCTCCTAAATATTTTGTCGGAAGACTTAATTTATAAAAAATGTATAATTTCGATCGAAAAACAGTTGTTTGTATGCAGAGTGATATACCCTAATGTACATACATACATATGTGTGCGCCAATGACCATTCGTCCGAAAACAACAACAGGAAAAAATATTACTTTAAAGTTAAAAAAAATTACCAAGGTTTTCACCATTCACCCTTTCATTCATAGCCACTTTCCAACGCTGAGCACTCTTTCGCCTTCTTAGATTTGTAGCTTCATCATGATGTACGTTTATTACCAAACAAACAAAAACAACTTTACGGTCATAAAACGTGGAAACAAGTAAAGAAAAAAACACGCTAAGGGTGTAAATACGTAAAGAGAAAAAAACCAAATTGTTAACTTAAATAAACAACCGCTGCTACTGTCTGGCTACTGAATTTATTGGAGGCACTGGCACAGGCGCTGGCCTGTCTTCGCCTCAGAGGTTAAATGGCTACATTAGCAGTGACTTAATTCAGAAAAGAAAGCACTTTTATTCGGATTTAATGCATTTTAAAGGTGTGTGGAGTGAAAAAACTGTATCTTAATTTGACATCGATTTGCGGGAAATTGAGATATTGAACAGTTTACGCGAAAATAAAGGTACAAAGAAGGATCTTTAGACACTTTCTTATCACATAAGACTGTTTCTGGTTAATTTATGCACCAGAAACGGTTCCATGAGCTTTCACCTCAAGTTATCTTATTGGGTAACGACTTTTCTTCGCAAGCTTTTAAAAGGTATACTTAGGACGTTCCATAACTTTGTACTTCTTCTTTCTTCTACAACGCACTCCTTTCATGCACTTGAAGTTGATCTACCTTAGCCAAACTCAACCCTCGCTGCGTTGAGCGATGGTATATCCCTAAGGCTTAGAGAGAGGGCAGTGTGGCGTATATACCGAAGTCCGGCAGAAGCTCTCACACCTCTTTCGTGGATTTCAGGCTAATTAAACAAAGGGTACAGCGAGCCACCCTCATTGAAATTTATTGGGGCTTATGACCACATCTATACTGGCACTTAACGCTCAGAATTTGGACTCGCTGGCAATCTTGTAAGCTACGACTTTATCGCTGATAACTAAAAATTAAAATTAAATTAAATTTAAAGAAAATTATTAAGAAAAAGAAAAAAATCATTGCTAAAAATTAAATGAAATTTAAAAATTTTTTCTTTTAATAATATAATCTACAAATTAAGATTAAATTACATTAAACTAACAAATAAAATAAATTCCTAAAAATTACATTTATTAAAAAAAAAACATATAATATTGCTCTCTTTAAAGCATAAAATCTAATAATGAAAAGAAAACTTAATTAAACAAATTATTAAAGAAATGTATGTTTCTTTTTAAAACAATAATATCGAAAAATTATAAGAGAATTATACTAACGAAATAAAATAGGTTCCCAAAAATTTTATGAAATAAATAAAAAAAATTTCCTTTTTAAAAAGAAAATGTAATTTAATAGTTAAAAGAAAGTTAAACTAGAAACGAAAAAAAAAATAAGTTCCTAAACTTTAAATGCTTAAAAAAAATTTCCTTTCAAAAAAATTCAGCCTAAACAATTAAATAAATTAACTTTTTAGTAAATATTATTTACGCCACAATAATAACAACAAAAACTAAAGAAAATTAAATTTAAAAAAAGAAGAAAAATAATAACTTTCCAACAATTAAATGAAATGCGCGAGCAAAATGGTATACAAATTTCTGTCAAAGGCGCTTTTCTGTCAAAAGGGCTTTTCACCATGAAAGTTTGCAAAGAAGCTTTTTTTTTGTAAGACTTGCGTGGCAGAATAAAAAAATTGTTTCAAACTATCTAACCTACTGTCTTTCAATTTTCTTACAAAAGGCTTTCAACTATCTTAGCCAGAATTGCCCTGTAAATGTACTTGAAGTCATGTAAAAAAAAAAATTCAAATCTCTATTTTCGATTTCGAGAAACTCATACAGCAAGAATCCGCTCTGGTTATCACTGTTTTATACTTTGTAAAAGCCCTATAGTCGTCACTTATTTAAGTTATGTTAGATCAGCAATGACCAGAGAGCTTTTACACTATGCTCGCTCATAAAAAATCTATTAATTGGTCATGACTGGTCTTAAATTGGCAGACACAAAGCTTTCTAAAAAGATTATCATTCCTAAGACATTTTTAAATTTTTAAAAAGCTGGCCACAAGCACAAGTGAAAAATTGCTAATTAGTTTTAATCGTTTTCGTTTCATTGCTTATTTCGTTAAAATATATGTTTTCTTGTTATGATACGAGTATATCGCTTTTTTAATAAACTTACCCATATGTGTATGTGTATGTTTACTAATTCAATTTTCTAGATATCTACATACAAGTGAACAATTACGTCATGAAGCCGCTTGAGGAATATATGCTCTTCACTAAATCAGGTGCCGATAATATTACGGTAATTCATCCGCAGGGTCTACGCAGCGCACAATGTATTGCTAAATTTGATATATCAGAGCAACCATCACAAGAACCAATGGTCAACGTGAGTATGGTAAGTAATTGACGAGAATATCTGCATATAGATCCTAGGTATGAGAACGGCAAGCCCAGAAACAGTAGTAGTGGCAATTTAACTAGAATTTTGAAATTGTAAAGACACAAACAATAGCGCTGCCATGCAATACTAAGTAATTGCATTAGACTCTTGGGCCTGTTGGTTGATATTGGCGGCGATTGCCTTGGCTTGCTGAAACTCAACAACTCAATGTTGCTATTCGCTGCATAAATTAGAATGTGTCGAAACCTGCCAGCGACCAATAGCTTTACTAGTTTTCCATTTACCACACACTCATCCATATATACGCATAAACATACAAATAACAACCATTGCAGAGCGCCGAAGCGTGGGTGGAAGATCCACCGCAGCGTGTACTCTACGTAGCTCAATTTGGATATGACGTTTCCGAGAAGGAAGATTCCACACAAGTGGTATTCATAACGTTGACTTCACTCTTTGTGATCATAGTAATTTGCTGCCTCATAGAAGTGTACCGCAGTCATCGAGCTTATAAGAAACGCATCGAGCGACAAACTGACGAGGACATCATTTGGTCAAAGGAGCAAGCGACGAAAATGCATGAGTCGCCAGGGGTAACCGGCACACAATCGTACGGCTACAAAAAGGTGAGTGTGTGTGTGTTGTAGCGGGAGCACAATGCGAAAGCAGAATTAGAATTGAAAAGGTGATTAGTTCCAATTAAACTGTAATTTACATTGTTCTCTCTTTCTCCCGCTGGCAGTTGCCGCAAGATGAAAAGAAGCCAGGCAATGGAGCGCCACTTGTGGGTATTTTGAAAAATGGCAGCACAGCCACAACAGCAGCTGCGGCTGCAGCTACAACAACGCCGCCGGCCAAGGAGAATGGAAGTACGAAGAAAAACGGCGATATACCACTGGGTCATATTGATGCACGCATCGATGAAGAGGAAGAAGACGATGATGATGTAAATGAAGGCGATGATTTGGTCAGTGCGGCAGACAAAAAAACGGAAGTGGACAAGAGCTTAGACGAAGCTTTGGAAGCAGAACAGCGTAAAGAGCAGGTGGAGCAGAAAGAGATTAGTGCGAATGCACTACAGAAAGGCGCTCAGGCGGCAAATGAGGATAAGACAAGGCAGGCAAGTGGAAAAGAAATTAGCGCAGATGCAACTAAAAAATCGAATGAAAAACCAAGCGAAGGTGGTGGTGGTGCCACCAACGAAGAAACGAAAACGAAGGAGGGTAGTAAAGAAATTGCGGAGAACGACAAGTCGAATGCAACAGCAGCAACAGCAGCCACACCGACAACAAAACAATGCAGTGGTGGTATGTAGCGGAATGGAAGCTAGTTTTTAAAGCTTTACATTCTTTTTTATTAATATTTTTTTTTTAATACCTATTTCATTTATTACCAAAACAACTTCATTTCTTTTACCCTTCCAAATATTTAGCAAACGTTCAAGCAGCCAGCCAAAGCACAGCGTCGCCGCCTTCAACGTCAGCGCCGCCACATAATCCGGAGAAGGAGACTCAAACGCCAGCACAAATAGGGGGCGATACGGTGGATGGCCAACAGCGGCAAGGACAGCAGTCATCGCCTGCAACTACCAATGGCACAACAGCGAATGGCCATGGCACGGTAAGCAAGCGATATTGTGTTGAGAATGGTGCAGGTTTAGCGTTAATTGGCTTAGCACCTTTATGTTCCATAAACGAAACCGATTTATTGCTTGAATCAGATTGATTTCATTATGTAAATATACATTAGTGGCATTTTGTTATTTGTACATATCACGCTTGTTTGTTTTTTTACGCTCGTATAGAATGCAAGTACTTGCTAATACAATACGTAGACATACATACGTATATTTTTAAATAAGTTTAAGGTAAATCCAGAAGAAGGTGTAAACAAGTGCCTAAAAACGACTACCTCAACGCCAAAGCATTTATGTAATTTTTCAAGGCCACAGGCCACAGCCGATAGACCATAGACCATATCTTATAGATTATATGTATATTGTCCAGGGATCGCATCACATCTCATGCCTCATGGATCACAGTTCATAAATCATAGATCATGAATTATAGCTAATAGACCGCATATAGATCATAGATCTGGGATCATAGCACATAGCTCATTGTCGACACTTAGACCATAGGTACGGTGACCAGATTTCTGTGGACGAAAATCGGGACAATTCTAAAGCATCGAATCCGAACATACAATTTTGTTTGTAAAATAAAAAGGCATAACATCTTTTAATACAGTTTTATTTAAGACAAAACAAAGAGAAAGCACTTGAATAGTGATCTCAAAAATATATACGCACAATATATGCGGTAGCGAGGATGTAAATAGGGGAAAGACATTTTAGTAAGTTTTGGCTACTTTTCTAAGTTTAAAAAATATTTATGACCTTTTTATGAAAATATAGCTTACAAATATCTAAAAAAAAACTGTAAATCAAGATTTCAAACTTTGTAGAATATTTACAAAAATTCGACGAATTTTGACAAATGTTGATCAAAATTTTAAACTTTTAAATTAGACATTTTGAATTTTTTGAGCATGCAATTTTATTGCCCATCAAATTTTAGTAAAACAAAGTGCAAGTTCGAAGTAGCTTGGGCCTACCGTTGTATTTTTGGCAATTGTTTGTTCGCGCATTTTCTTCCATACAAAGTTTATTCGAAAATTTTTGTTTGTATGGGAAAATGGCCAACACCTGCCACAAAAAAATTTACCAAATTTGCACTTCGTTTTACTAGAATTGAATGGGCTACAAAACTGCATACTCGGAAAGTTACTAAGAAATATATTTAAAAAGCTCAAAATTTCGATCAAACATTGTCGACTTTCACAAATTTTTTTATAAAGTGTGATTTGAATGGTTTTTGTTATATAACGAGGTACACTTTAATAAAAAAATAATGAACATTAAATAATCAAAAGGGGAATGACAATTATACGTCCCGATTTTTAAAAAATATTCAGCTGGACAATTATCTCTAATTCGGTTCTGTCCCGCCAAAATCGGTACGGATGGTCACCGTAACCATAGGTCATAGATTATGGATCACAGGAAATTAATAAATTTAAAGTCATAGATTATATGCAAGTTTATCAAATATTATAGATCTATGGATCACAGTTCGATGATTTTCTGATTAGCTCTTGGTATGGGTAAGATTTGCGTTAACCCAGCTGAAAATTTGTAATTACTTTTGGGAATAGTTAGTAAAGGACCATTTCTAACCACTTCAGAGCTACTTCAAGACAATTATTTGAGAGCCATTTGGGGCTAGTTTTGTACGATTTTAAGACTACATCAGGCCTATTTCACGAACATTTCCAGACCGTTTAGAAACATTTTGGCATTAGCTCAGTATTATTTTAGGACTAATAAGGGACCATTTCGGAAACTTTTCAAAACGTTCAACATCACGACTCTTTTACCGTTTTGGGGCCATTTAAGACTAGTTTGAGACTAGTGTAGATACTAGTATAGCATCATTATAGGGTAGTTCGAAAATGTTCCCAATGAAGAGACAGTGTACAGGTCTTGAGACGTTAAATTAATGTTTAATTTCTAGTCTAACCTATTTCTGTACATTTGAGGGCTATTTCATGACAATTTTGTGACTAGTTCGGGGTCATTTTGGGATGGTACACTTGATGACATTCATTCTCTGGCTCGGGCGACCTGTTCATTCCACTAGAAGACCAGATCTCGAGAGGTTTTCACAGAACGTCGTGGGATAGTTGCAGAGCACTCTGATCACACCTCTTTCCTGGGAGCTTTCGCCAATGGTTCGGCTTGGATTATAGTATGGTGTAGGCTCTCCACATTTCACCGAAAAGTTGGGAGCCAAAAGTTTTATATTTTAGGTATCTGTTTATTGCTTGTTGAGGAAGTGCAGGGAATGAAATCAAGCTTTCAATAATGATTTTTCCGCGTCCTTGTTCTCCACGACTGGCCCTACGCTCCCGAACTGTCCTATTTTCTTCTGTGAACTGTCACTGTTCCAGTGTGCCGTAATTAGAAGGGTCCATGCAGCCTTTGCTAAACTTCTACCATCCCTTTCATAGCCATTAAGGCGGATGTGGAGTTTCATTTACTAGGCGCCTCCGTCAGAAAATTTTCATAAAGCGTATCTAGATCAGAGATCAAGGATCGGAAATCATAGATAATAGTTCAAATTTTAGAAACCACGAATCAGAGATCACATATCATGGATCATCAATCATGAGCTCTAAATCATAGACCGTAAACAATGCATCATATACTATAGATCATTGATCATAGATCATGGATCATGGAACAAAAGTCGAAGGATAATATCTTAGGTCACATATAATAAATTGTAGATCACATTTTAAAAATTATTTAATCACGTATCATTGATCATTGATCATGGATTGAATGTCAGAAACATTAACACAAAATTTAAATTCCTTAAATTCCAAATTTGGACTTAGAATCCTTATTTCTTTTCTATTTCCATACATAAATTAATCACGTTAGTAACGCCTTCTGCTGGATGTTTTTTTTTCATAAAACATTACAGGCATACAAAAAACTGTTTGTATTTACATATACATATGTATTAGGAAAAGTATTATTTACGCATTTGTCTTTACGTTAACTTGTTAGCAAAAACATGCGTACATACATACATATTTTTGTATGGAATTAAATGTAAATACATTTAAGTTCTGCTTGCTATTGCATCAAGCTTGCCTCCTAAAAGTTTAATCAATTTCTTACTAAAAACCAAAATTTAGTTTAAGAATCTCTAACACCAAAAAACTAATCAAATATTGAAACTGTACGATTATTTTTCGATCGAATTAAAAGCAATTAAATTTGTAAATACATACACCTAGGAAATTGATTAAATACATTTGCAATCATATTTGCGTGAAAAATATTTTGGTTTTGTTGAAATGTAATTAAAGAAACTAAAAGAGTGCACAGGTAAGTTAAGTATTCACTATATAAGTATATGGGATGTTCCATACCTAAACGGACGGGGTTCACACTTCATGTGCTTGATTTGTTTCAAATTTTTAGGGTTGATGCATAAACTTAAATAATAAACAAATATGAAATTTGAGCTTGATTAATACATTTTTAAAAACTTTATAGCCCAAAAACAAAAACAAATCGATTTAATAGTTGTCCAAATATCTCGAGAAAGGGCAGGCAAAAAATCACACACACACATTAAAATTCTCTATGAAAAGAAGTATTTAAAAAAAAAAAAAATTTTATTTTTCACATACAAATTTTTTGATAAAAAAGAGGTTTTTGAAAATAGGCTCTCTTAAAGAAAATTGAAAAAATAATCACAATGGTAGCTCTGAGTATTGCGCAATATTTAAGTATAGTATTATGGGGTGCACTCTACAATAATTTGAGTTATGAATTTTTTTACACCGAAGTTGAGTAAAATGAGTACATTACAAATTTACAAATTTTTTAATTTTTTGAGAATTTTTGAGTATGCAGTCTTGAAGCCTATTAAGTTTTAGTATAATAAAGTGCAAGTTTTAAGCTACTGCAAAATTTTTTTTTATTTTTTTTGATTTGATTTTTTTTTTTTTTTCATGCTGACGGCTTTGTGCAATGTTTTCTTATGGAAGAAAATGCGCAAAACCGTTTTAAAAAAAAGTTAAAAAAAATTAGAGCCAGTTTTGCAATCGCTTCAATCTTGCACTTATTATACTAAAATTTAATGGTATACAAGACTGCATACTCAAAAAATTAAAAAAAAAAATATTAAAATTTTTAATTTTTAACGTACTCATTTTACTCAACTTCAGTGTAAAAAAAATCATGCATGCGACATAGCATTTATATACGGAAGGTAATATACACATCTATACATTAGCGTGGTCCAGAGAAATCAAAGCCGTAATTTTAATGCTCTCACCCTCTAGGATTGTTCTGTATTGATAATATATCAATCCGGGGGGTGAGAGCATTATAATTCCGACTTTACTTTCCGCACATGCATTTTTGTACCACCCTAGTACACATACGTAGAATAGTGTAGAACCGAATACTTATATTGTAAAGTATTACTCATACTAGCTAAATACATTCATAAGTCCATTATATGGCAGGAGTATTCATAAGCTAAAAAACATAGACTTTCAACTTAATAGAATTTTCCTTTTTATGGTTATTTTCGTCCATTTTTTTTACTATTACTTTTATGACATTACAATATTGCAATCCCTTTACATATATATTTATGCACATATTTCTATAAAATAGAGTTATTTTTTTTGCAAGTTTGCATTTTTGTTAAGATTCTTCTCTACTGCTATGTACTTAATCCTCACTTTTCTCACTTAAATTCCATTCAAAGTTGTCTACAGTATTTACAGTTCAAATTCAGTTTCCCATTTCTTTCTTTTTGTTATCATTTTCGACATTATACCTAGGTATTTCAGCGCACACAATTTTTGTGAGGTAAAAAAGTGTGTGCCACAAAAACTTTGAAACTAAATGCATTT